CACCACTCCAATATTATTCAGCAAAGTTTTAAAACCCCTGTCCACTAAACCCACATCACATCCAAAATTTGGATCTTCAAAGCACAGAGTCAGCTTCAACTAACATTTGTACACCCACATTTTCTACAATCAGTATCCCAAAACACCATTTTTGTGCATGCTCTGCAATGACTCAGCCTTAACCATTCAAAATGCATTACCATTGATCCCCTGTAACTCCCCGGAAATCACAAGCAAGTCTTCTATCTTTCCCATTACAAGAGTTCATCCTTGACACCAGACTTCATATAAAAACCACGGTCTTTTATGCTACAACTCAGTGGTTATTGCAAGTTGCCAAAAAAAATCAACTTAATTTCCATATTGTTAGAATTTTCTCTGGTCTGCTTTGTCAACTTTGCAGGAAGTGAGTAACATAGGCTGGGGACCTCCTCGTTCCCTTCTGTTGAACCTGTTCTAATTTTGTATAGTAAGCATTCACCACCAGAATCTGTGCATGTGTAAGCCCACATGTACCACGGGACACTAATTCTGTGCACAGGTCGAGTAGAGGGCTGGAAGGGGGTCCCAAGTGCCAGCTGCTGCTCCAGTGAAAAATTCACATATCTTTAGCAGTCAGTAGACAGGTACCACAATTCCCTGCTCCCCTTCTTGAAGGGGAAACTGAGCAGGCAATGAAAAGCTGCAATGGAAACCTGAAGCAGAGGGAAGCACATCTAATGCACAGTAAGGTGGTGGTGAAGTCTCAGGAAGATGTAGGATTTAAACTTGGATGCCTCTCACTAGTTTTCAGTGCCTAAGCCTAGTCACAATTCGGTGCTCAGGGTAACAGTAACCCAAAGTTCACTTGGAGCCCTGTATCTTCCTTCATCCATTGCACAAACAGTCAAGAAGTAGACTTCAGAATCCTTCATTGCATCACTGAAGAGGGGAGTCCTAAAAATCAACAGCAGCAAATACTCAGCAGTGTGGCATCTACATACTTTAATGCTTCACTTTTAGGTAACAGCCTTGGGGTGGCTTAGAAATGCTTATTTAAGAGGCCATAAATATTTTCAATCCTAAATTCTATTTAGATGCTTGAGTTCGAGTAAGTTGATTTAATTGTGACATTTCCCATTCTGCTGGGCTTTTGGCCTTCCACATTTTCTTTCTTTGAATTGCAGTTCAGATTTCACATACTATTAGCATTACATTCCACCCATAGCACATACTATGAATATATTCTTTTTATGTATATTTTATTTGTATATAAATAGACTGAAATGTTTGAAATAAAAGCCTTTCAGCAGAATCTACGTATGCCACGCTTCTTTTGCAATTACATGAAGAGTAAGAAAGGTGCTCGAGTTTCTGATCTCTTCTGCCTTTAAAATAGTGGAGGTGCTGAGTATTGTGCAGCATGCGTCAACAATATTAAAAACTGAATTGAAAGCAGAGTATTGGAGAGTTGGATCTGAATATCAAATTCAGTATCTGCTCAAAGGAAAGGCCCTGGTGTCACTGTATATTAGCATCTCAGCTCAATGGTCAGCTACTGAAAAAATACAGAAAAAACACAGAGGAAGGTGTAAAGTGAAAAATCGTTCTCTTCTACAGCAGACCTACAGCAAGAGCATACTAACCAGTTAAATGGTAAAGAAGAGAGACTAACATTCTGCTGACCTTGTGTTATAACATGAGCTAGAAAATAGCAAGTTAAAAAGGTCTGCAATGCTTTGTCCACACATTATGACTGCATTGTGGAACACATTATCAATAAGGGCTGTTCACGTCCAGGTGCTTAAGCAATATTCTGAAAAAGCTTGAGTAGTTTTTACTGGTTTTTTTTTCATGCTTAACAGGAATAGGCAAAATAAATTTGGATAGCTTGATTTTTTGCAAAAGCCAATAGAGCAAATGAGTCAAGATGTACACCAATCCCTCTGACTGGGAGTGAAGAGAGCCCTGATGTTGGGGACAATTTTCCAGGTGGGTTGCAGGCATTTAATTCTCTGCTAAGAGTGCCAAGCACTCTTCCTAATGCCAAGGACAAAGCCTGTTGCTAACCATCACAAAGCCCCATTAGAACAGCAGGAGTGCCTTTACATTGTCAGAATTCAGAACCTGCACTATTTACTGTTCTAACAATCATACCTGCTCCTAACCTTTCAAAACAGTCTTTTGGTGTGCACAGAACAAAGAAAATTACCCCAGAATATAGTTTCTTAAAAGCAACACTGTAAAGCTGCAGTAGGCATGATTCGGTCTTGCTGCAGCAATGCTCTGAATTTACTATTTCAGACCTGATAATTAAAATCCTGCCTTGTGCAAGTATTTCTATCTTTATATGTAAAGGTTTCACACGCTCGGAGAGCAACAGAGGTGGGCCTGCCTAAAAGGTGAGGGCTGTCGCATGGGGAAGTCCTTTGAAACCGCCCTGGTGTGACTGGGAACGCTCCTCCAGCAACGCTATTCAGCCTCACGAGACCAAGCAACTGGACAGCACAAAAATCCCAACGTGTGATAAAGAATGTGCACAGACTGATAGATGTAACATTACCAGTATGCAAAAAATTAAAATGAAACAAATTAAGAACTCCAAACATGAAATTCAGATTGTTTATTGTAAACAGAAGAACTCTAGCACTCTGTCATACTGGCTGTGTCACATGCACCCAATTCCACATGAACTGCTTAAAATAGCACTTGCAAAAATTACAGTTATGTAATAATAATTTATGGTTTCTTACATAAACTAATCAACAAGCACTAAAATTGAATTACAGTGTATTCTAGGTAGTTTTTTATTGCTTGTAGACACTGCAGCTTTGGATCCATTAAAATGAACCCATTAGTATGCCTGAGTTTATCAAAATTTACCACTATATCAAACTCAGAAACTGTAAAATGCTGGAGAACACTTAAAAGCAACTAAAAGTTGCTGGAAAACTACATGGGTTTCCACATCCAGTCACAGAAATTTGAACTTCTTCATTTTTTCCTCTGGAAAACGTGATATATGAGCTTGTGTTAAATACACTGCTATTCCAATTTATTTCTATGATTTTTTAAAATTAGAGTTGATAGTACTTCCATGAATATATATTTATTTTACACAATAGAAGCAATTTCAGTTTATTCACCCTAAGAGTGATATGTTTAAATACTAAATCCCAAAATATATATTTTTATAATATGTTGTCAAAACTTTTAATATATAATACAAATACTTTTACTGAAGGAAAACTATAAACAAAAGCTAAATGCAAAAGGGTAAAACGCACATTTTATGTGAAGGATCCATGAAAAATATGGTGAACAGACACCTTTATTGTTTTTACTAATGCTATTTTTAACGTTTTTTTCTCCTCAGGCTACCAAAAACTGCTAGTGGCCTTCCATGGCAACAGGTTACATCACAGACTATCATCAAACTTATTAAAAAGATGTTGAAACATGTACTGTTAAACTTTAAAACAACTTTTAAATACCGTGTATTTATTCAATTAGAAGAGACTCAGATAAACACAGGGCCCTTACCCTGCGAAGCACTCAATTTGGCTTCAGAGCCAAATAATAAAGAACATGGATTTAACAAAAAGAATAGCCCTGTAAGAATATATCAGGATTCTGATGTATTGACAACATGTGTGTCACACCAGAGCCTTAGTTTCAGGTTATTTTAATAAGAAGCAAACTTTCAGTAAGACCACTGATGAGCAGATTTTTTTATCTTCAGTGCTTTGCATACTCTATCTTGTCTGAGTAATTACAATCCATTTTATGCATTAAACAGGCAAGAACTTAGTAAGATGCTCCCTTACCTTTTTCTGTCTGGGGGCTGTCCCAAGCACAAAACCACTCTGCAAGAGTCAGTAAACTTGGTAAAGATGAGACACCATGTATTGTTTTACCATTTTACCAAATTACGGACTATATATACATCTAGTATTTTAGCAAAATTCTTCATCATTCTTGGTTTTGCACAGCTTTCTTAAAAGAAGTAGGAACAAACATTTTGTGATGTAACCTGAACCACACCTTGTGCTGTAGCAGTAATGCACACCCAGTGCTGCACCATCCCAAATGCCTTTGTGAAGGACAACGAGAAGGACCCACACAGATGTACCAGAACAATGCTGTATGTGATTTTTCAAAGGGCCCATGTTTCATCCACCTGTGCTTGAGTCAAGAACTATCCCATGCTCAAAGTCATCTGCATTAAGTACTTTGCTGGACTGAGACCTAATGTAACAATGAGGCAAAACAGACTGAGTTCCCTATGAGTACATGTGCAACTGAAAACAAACAAACAAAAAATGACACCAAATACCAAATGGGAACAATTCACAGTAACACTGAAAACCTGAACAGGATATTGTCGGTATCAAGAGACACTTGACAGTATCAAGGGATAACACTTTTGATAGCAAAAATAAGATGTACTATTAAAGTGTTTCCAGCATTTTACTAGTTTTAATATAAAATGTCCCAAAATTTGTATAGAAAGATTAAAATCATGCCCATATCTTCAATTATTCCCATTAACACAATTGTCTTACTACTGTGCTGCCCATTTCCTTTTTTTTCCCCTCACTGGTCTTCATAAAACTTAAATAGAAAATACGTTGGTTGCATTAAGGATCAATTAAAAAAGTATCATTCAACACGTCACTTCAAAAAAATGTGAAAGTCTCTATTTTTAAGAAAAAATGTTGACCCTATCCCAGAAAGGACCTACTTTTCTCACCCTCTCCAGCCCCAATAAGATAATTATTGGGATACTAAATGGTGTTTTTCAGGAGTAACAAGGTTATTTCAAGCAACTTTGTTTGCTCTGGAGGGTTATTTTATCAAAATGAAAATCTGATGGGATATGCTATTTTAAAAATATACTGCATCTACAAGGGTATTATTATTATTATTATTGTTTCAATTTATTTTGGTTCTCAACAGGTTGTCTGTAACATAAATGACACATGACCACAACTGATTTTTATATACTCTCTATCCCTAACACACAGCTAATGTCAAATGAACCAAGAAGGAATTTGGGACTTTCATAATGGACAGAACCATTTATCTTAATGATCTTGTAATAATTTTGTTCATCATGAAGTCCCCTGAAACCATGTCAGGACTGATCATTTGCATTTCTTCATCCAGTGAGGCTCTTCACAGTTTTGCAGCCATGAAATTGATATGTGGTTTCACGAGTGGAATGCGCTTGAATTCTGTCATATTTTCAATCACACTTGGCTGCAAAGAAGCACATGCAAGAAAAAGTCTACTCAGTAACTTTAATCAAAAAAGCAAGAAACTCCTCACTTTTTCCACTTTCACTACAGCTACATATGTAAACTCTTCTTGCTTGCTCTTTTCTACAGTATCAGTGATTCACACTTCATTATTACAGGATCCCCCAAAATACAGTGCTATTTCTTATGAAATAAAGTGTTTCATACTTACTCTAGATCATTAAAAACAACAGCTATAATGCAGCAATAGCATTGCTAATAATAGCAGGAACTTTAGTAAATGCAGAGCTTGTCTTTTAACTTACAAATTCTACTTCTGAACATCCCACCTATCCTTTGAATATAAGGAGTAAGATCATAGAGACAACAGCAATCCAAAGAGCTATTATTCTTAGCTGCAGTAACAAAGTCGTAATAGCTAATATATCCACATATAACTCATACAGAAATTTCACCTGTAAGGGCTGAATTAGAACACAGATCTACTATCACACTGCAAAAAGTTTAACTTCAATTGGAAAAAACACTACCATTCCTCAAGAAAATTCATCTACAGTGCAGTAAGGGCCCAGTGCTAGCTATCATACCTAACAACACAGGGAAATCTCTAATACTTGGATGAATAGAACTGCTTCCTCCAGAGGGTACACATTAGCAGGAATTGCACTAATAGTTTAGGCTTTAAGATAATGAGCAGCTAGAAATTTTGGTGTTGGTTTGGGGTTGGGTTTTTTTTGTTGCCTTTTTTTTTAAAATAAAGATGATCAAGTTGTTGATACGTACGCATCTTTCTCTTGAATCTTGATATATCTGTTAGATGTACATCTACATGAAGCATCTAGAATTAACTACTACTATTAGCTTTCATTGAAATGGATTAGAAGGAACAAAAGTAACATGACAGACTGTTAAAAAAAAAAGGGAAAAAAAAATCAGATTAAAAACCCCCTTGCTATTGAGGACAATAATGCCTGTGGAAAACAGCTGAAACATCAGCCCCACAACAACATGAATTTCAAGGAGTTTACTTCTTTCTATAAAGATATTTAATAATACTAAATTTCCATATTAAGAATGCAACCTGGGATTTTTTGGGTATTGTTTCTTTTTACCTGTGGTAGTGGTGGTGCCGGTGCCAGGTTCACATCGTTTTGGCATGGAAATTCTCCAACAACAGGGCCTATTTAACATCATCAAAATTAATTCCGTAATGTAACCATCATGTAACCAGTACCTTTTACATAATCATCTGTTTTCTCTTACAAGACAGGTATGCATATAAATCACAGGTAATTAATTTTACCGAGTAAGATTTTCTGAACATTTTGCTTTTATACTCCATTGCTGTCTTTAGAAATACAAAGATCTTAATCCATGATTTGACTTGAGAACATGTGCTGAGGCAGTGGCTTTTACTCATTTTAGTTACACATAAAGAGATGTAGAAATAAAATTTGCTAAGCTCCTGGTCAATGACCAGAGCAATGCAACAACAGCACATCTTTTAGTAACAACATGCCTACATAGACATGGGGGTTACTCCGTTGTACCAAAATTCTGGATAGCCATCTCAGGTTTTCCCTACCTGTCCCCATGCATGCCCTACTCCAGACCCCTCAAAACTTCTTCCTGCATCCAATATATTTGTCCATCAGAACTTCTAAATTCCTTAAACCTCCTTTCTGCTTCCATACTCAAATTTCAACCCTAACCTTCACCCTGGAAGCTCAAGTGCTCTCCTCTCCTAACAATCCCAGATCCCTGCTGCTTCTGATTCTTTTCTGCTCTCAAAGAAAACAGTGTGTCTGTCTCCAGGAGGAAACCTCTCTGGGAAGCTTTCCAACTTTCCTCCTCTGTGGTGCTCTCTAAGAGGACAGGCATCTGCACTTGGAAGAATGTTCTTTTGGACTCATGGGAAATGCACTAAAGTCCCTGAAGTTCTCGTTCATGGCAGAAGAGAGGCCACATGCCAGATTAAATCGTTTAGGACTGGGGAGTATGTGCAGAGAGTATCTTGCTACAATCTCTGTAAAAGGAACTACTTTTAAGATTGTCTTCCATGATCACCCGACAAATAATAAGCCGTTCTGGAAATGCAGTTACTGCACTTCAAAAGCTTTTTGTACATAGGAAAATTATTAGGGCTATTTCTATTTAGCAATGAATAGTCACTGGAAAGATGCTTTGAAGCAAGTCTTCCTTACTCAGCTTTAAAAGTTACAATTTCCACAGTACTGTAAAAATTAATCGCTCTGAGACTGGAGGAGTTTCGTGACAAGCACACAGATAGCTGCTCATTTCTGTCCTGCACACGAGCCTTTAATATTCTTGACTTTGCAACTAGTTACACGTGGGAATTTAAGTCTAGTATAAATTGTTGAGAAATACACACAAAAGAGAATAGAAGTTTTTCCTCTCAGTTAGTTTGTATTAACCAGAAACACTTTTAACCTTTTCTTTCTTAAATTATCAAGTGGAACAACACAGTTTACAATGCACAGCTAAGAGATTATTTGAAAATAACACCTAAATAAACTTGGATTTTCTCAAGTTTAAATATAACGTTTGACATTCCAAGAGGGTTGTCTTTTGTTTACCTTCTGTTTTTTCCCTCCTTTGGAAATGCTTGAATAAAATTGTGGGCATTCATTGCTTGTTAGGAAAAAAATTCACCACACTGTACTGATAACTGTAAATACTATATTTTTTCCCCTGTAGGACTGCTACAGAGTTTAAGGCTTGTTTTAAAATAGCCCATTGAAAAAAAGTGCTATTTTAAGATATATTGTTTTAATATCAATATACTTCAGAATGGCCGAAGAACTTAGTCACAAAGATCAATCAGAAAATTTGAAGCACCCATGTGAAGAAAACCTAGAAAAATAAATATTTTTCCTCTGAAAGGCATATCATCTCCAGAGCTGAGTTGCTCTTACAGTGCATTTCTATCATATAACATGTCTGTCTTTAACTATGACTTGCTTGAACAGAAATTGATTAAATACTATATTCAGCACAATACTTACAAGAATCCATCTCCCTTGCAAGGACATGTACCGATACCTTGTGTCTCCTGGGAGCATCTACTGCCAACAGCACCTACAAGGAAAAAATGTCAGGTCCTTCAGAGGTGGGAAGTATCACTCAGACATTATATTTATAAAAGAAAAAAAGAATGAGAGCATTTAAATTTTAATTTAAGCTCTAAAATAAGGGATGAGTTTTGGGACATCCCTTCAAACATTATTAAAAATTATCTGTACAGTACTTTTTCATTACTTTACAATCAGGTTAAGAAATTAATGTACTGTTTGGGATTCAGATAAACTGCAAGTAACAGGAATTCATCCATTAATTATCGTAGTATCAGGAACACAGCCTAAAATCACTGCAGATTTTCAGCCTTCTGGAAGCACAATACCTTGAACACAGTTATTACACTCAGCTGGACTGGCTCATCAATCTAGCCAGTTATTTCAGCTCTGGAATACCAGATATTCGCGTATTGCACATTTGTGTAAGCAAAACGGTACAGAATCCTCCCAAACCTCCACATGCCTGTTCTTGTTACAGCTACTGAAATTCCATCTACTAAGCTTTTATCTTCTATATAGCGTCACCTATGCTATCATACCAATAAAAAAAGTTACTGTTTGCTGTGCCATGTAAATAATGACCAGCTTTAAGCATTAAGACTAAATCTCAGAAAACAGACAGTAACGTAAAAACTACCTTGGATAACAAAAAGGATAAGACAGAGTACAAGAGAACCCACTTTGAAAGACATTAGTCCCCTCAAAAGAGAAAGGAAGAACACACAAATACACATGTCCCCATGCTTCTTCACAGGCAGAACTTTTTCCATCCAAGAACAAGTTCCAAAGGCACACCTCTACATTTTTTTTTAAAGTACTCCCTGAGCTATCTGCTCTGTAAGTAATGAACAATATGTACACTTCACAATATAGTGAATTATCACTGCCTAAGAAATTTGTTGTAGAACAGAAATAACGATGCCTAATTTATTTGGGAACAACACACAACACCCTCCTAGTATTTAAATTCCTTATATTAGATATCTATCTAGTGTTTTCATGCTGATTTGCAATTTGCAACTATTGCATCATTATGTTGTTCCTTTGTTCTATCTAACTGTGGAAGGAAGAAAGCAAAGTGTTGATTTACAGTGAACAAAGCTTTAAAAAACCTAATTCACAATTCATGCACACAAAATAAGCTGAATCATGTACTCATTGAAGAAAAAAAATAAAAGAACAAATCTGCAATTTTGGCCAAGCTTGGTCACAGAGTACCACATTTTATTCATAAAGAAAAAATAAATGAGACACAAGGAGACTAAGAGCTGGTAAGAAAAAAACCAAAAAAACTCCATCTTTCTCCTCATTTTTTACAGTATGCTAGTTGCCATTAAACTGAATAAGATTCAGGAAATAAAATTAAGGCATCTGGATCAATCATATCATACGTAAAAACAGGCATATGCATATGCTTTTATAGTTCATGCAAGTAACACCCAGTTGTACCTACACCTCCTTCCAAGACTGTAACTACATGATTAACTTACCTTGTAGAACTGTATAATATCATCCTTGGTCAGGGTCTTTAGATAAGCCACTTCAATGTTATCTGCATAACAATGGTAAAAATTAGAACAAGTCTGCAAACCATAGCTAGTTATTAGCACACTGCTTGTTCAAAATATGTTTCTGTCAAATTCAGACGCTGTAATTGATTGCAAATTGTGTGCTTTCCATTGTTACATTTCAAGCTAATACTTGCACAAGTGTCATTGAAAGCCTGGCAGAAAATTATACTTAAGTAAGTCCATTTGATTGGACTTACTAAAAAAACTACACCTGAAGAATACTGATTGCACTGTATGTTATTCAGTAGCTAGAAGAGACATGCCTACTTCTGTATATTACCTTAAAATCAACATTACACATTTTAAATGCAGACTGATTATAGATGGCTTTTATTCAGTTAGGATAGTAGGAGGTACTTTGGCAGATTATACTTTTAAATAAATGTAGGTAATGATGCCTACATCGTACCTGTTAAGGAATAATCACCTTTAAGATATCTGGGGACAATGTGTCTCAAAGCTACATCACTTCATATAAATTAAATTCAAACGAACTAATAATGTAATAGCATTGCTGCATAAGCAGGCATGGTTTTTGTTCTAAACATGCTTGCTTT